GGGAGAAGCAGGCTTCCCGCTGAGCAGGGAGCCCGATGCGGGGCTCGATCCCAGGACCGTGGGACCGTGACCTGAGCTGAAGGCAGACACTTAATGACTGAGCCGCCCAGGTGCCCCTGTTGGGAAGTTTTTGATTATTGATTCAAAATCCTTACTAGTAATTGATCTTTACAGATTTTTTATTTCATCATAATTCAGTCTTGGAGGTTGTATGTCTGTAGGAATTTATCCATTTCTTCTAGGTTATCTAATTTGTGTACAATTGTTCATAGTAGTCTCTTATGATCCTTTGTATTTCTGCGGTATTGATTGTAATATCTTCTCTTTCATTTCTGTATTTATTTCTTTGTTCCTTAGTCTAGCTAAAGGTTTGTTAATTTTATCATTTCAAAAAACCAACTATTAGTTCCACTGATGTTTCCTATGGTCTTCTTATTCTCTATTTCATCCATTTCCACTCTGAGATTTGCCATATCTTTCCTTCTACTAATTTTGTGCTTAGTTTTTTCTTCTTTTTCTATTTCCTTAAGATGTAATGTCAGATTGATATCTTTTGTTTTTCTTAATATAGGTGTTCATTGCTATGAACTTCCTTCTTTGAACTACTTTGCTGCATTCCATATGTTGGCATGTTGTATTTCCAGTTTTGTCTCAAGGTACTCTTTGATTTCCTTTTTGATTTCCTCTTTGGCTCATTGGTTGTTCAGTAGCATGTTGTTTTATCTCCACACACTGGTGAATTTTCCAGTTTTCTTCCTGTAATTGATTTCTAGTTTCATACCACTGTGGTTGGAAAAGATGCTTGGTATGATTTCAGTCTTCTTACATTTATTAAGACCTGTTTTGTGATCTAGCATATGATTTATCCTGGAAAATATTCCATATGCACTTGAGAAGAATGTGTATTCTACTGTGTTTGGAAGGACTGTATTGTAAATGTCTAATCTGTCAGGTCAATGTATAATTTAAGTCCAGTATTTCCTTTTTGGTCTTCTGTCTGAATGATCTATTGTTGAAAGTGGGGTATTAAAATCCTCTACTATTATTATATTACTGTATATTTCTCCCTTCATATCTGTTTATATTTGTTTTGTATATTTAGGTGTTCCAATGTTGGGTACATAAATATTTATAATTTTTATATTATTATGATGAATAGACCCCTTTATCACAGTATAATGACTTTTGTGTTACAGTTTTTGGCTTAAAGTCTATCTTGTCTGATATAAGTATAACTCTTCCTACTTTGGTTTCCATTTGCATGAAAAACCTTTTTCCAATCCTTCACTTTCATTCTATATGTGTTTTTACAGGTGAAGTGAGACTTATAGATAGCTTATAGTTGAGGTTTTTTTTTTTTAATACACTCAGCCACTCTGTGTCTTTTGATTGGAGAATTTAATTCATTTATATTATAGATAGTTATGGATTTAGTATTGCCATTTTGTTAATTGTTTTCTGGCTGTTTTATATCTTACATAAAATATCTTAGTTATATCAATCTATTTTAAGCTGATAACTTAATTTCAAATGTGTACAAAAGCTCTACATTTTTACACTTTCCCCACATTTATGCTGCATTTTTGATGACACAATTTACATCTTTTTATATTGTGTATCCATTAACAACTTATTGTAGTTATAGTTATCTTTAACACTTTGTACTTTAATCTTTATACTAGAATTGTGATTTACCTGCTACCATTAGTTTTAGAGTATTCTGAATTTAACTATATATTTACCTTTTACCAGTGAATTTTTTTTTTAAAGATTTTATTTATTTATTTGAGAGAGAGAGAGAGCTCATGAGAGGGGGGAGGGTCAGAGGGAGAAGCAGACTCCCTGTTGAGCAGGAAGCCCGATGTGGGACTCGATCCCGGGACTCCAGGATCATGACCTGAGCCGAAGGCAGTCGCTTAACCAACTGAGCCACCCAGGCGCCCTACCAGTGAATTTTATACTCCACATATTTTCATGTTACTAATTAGCATCCTTTTGTTTCAGCTTTAAAAACTCCCTTTAACATTTCTTGTAAGGCTGTCTAGTGAGGATGAACTCTTCAGCTTTTATTTGTCTGGAAAACTTTATCCTTCAATTCTGAAGGACAACTTTGTCCCATAGAGTTTTTTGCTTGGCAGTTTTTTTTTCTTTTATCACTTTGAATATATCATTCCACTCTATTCTGGCCTACAAAATTTCTGCTGAAAAAGTCACTTTTCTGTGACTTTTTTTTTACCCTGAAAAAGGTAAAAGTCACATTTCTTCTGCTGCCTTTAACTGCCTTTCAACTTTTGAAAATTTAATTGTATGTGTTTCAGTGTAGGTCTCTTTAGATTAACCTTTTTTGGGGTTCTTTAGACTTTCTGGATCTGAATGTCTGTTTGTTTCTCCAGATTAGGGAAGTCTTCAGCCATTATTTCTTCGATTGAACTTTCTGCCCCTTTCTCTCTCTCTTCTCCTGCTGGGACCTCCATTTTGGTCTGTCTGATGGTGTCCAATAAATCCATCACTCTTTCCATGCTTTTTTCCTTTTGCTTCTCTAATTGGATGAATTCCACTGCCCTGTCTTTGAGTTTGTTGATCCCTTCCTCTGCTTGATCTGGTCTGCTATTAAAACCCTCTGTTGAATTTTTTAAGTCTGTTATTGTACTCTTTGGTTCTATAAATTCTGTTTGATGCTTTTTTATATTTTCTGTCCCTTTGTTAAAATTCTCAATGTTTATTCATTGTTCCCCTGATCTTGATGAGCATCTTTATGGCCATTATTTCAAACTCTATTAGGTAAACCACTTACTTCTGAAATATCAGTTTCTGGAGATTTATCTTGTTTTTTGTTTGGAACATATTCCCCTCTTCATTTTTTTGACTCTCTATGGTGGGTTTGTTGTATTAGATAAAACAGTCACATCTCCCAGTCTTGACAGACTGGTCTCATACAGGAGATGAATTTCATCAATCAGCCCAGCTCAAGCTTCTAGGTCTCTCAAGCATTTGTGATTATCCTAGTCACATTATTCTTAATGGTCCCCAATAGTTGAATATGTGCCAAGATCTATCACTGCTCCAAAGAGAAGGATCACAGTCAGAACCTATATGCAAGCTGATTAGAAGCCAGACCCTCAGGCAGCAGGTGGGCAAGTATGCAGTTAAGCCTCTTTCACAGAGAAACTGGAAAGTGGATATTTGCCTATTCCTTCTGCATTGAGCCAAGGTGTATATCCATGCTGGGATTGGAGGAGGGTGCTCCTGCACCATTTAAAAACTGCTTATTTGTTTGTTATAGTCCTGTGGGACTTTTCAATGCAACCCCCATTGGCTATCAGAGCCAGGGAAGGTGCGGACCATTCTTTGGGCAGCAGCTGCAAAAACTAGGGCAGTTGGTATGTGTAAAATCTCCTTCCAAAGAGATGTTGGTGGCCTAATTATATAATTGGAGTTAGCTAGAGGGAGAAAGTAGTAGAAGTGCCCACTAGCTCCCCTGGACAACTCCATGAAGGATTGCAGCTAGCACCTAGATGTGGGCAAATTATAAGCCAGACCTCAGGCAGTGGTTTGTAAAGTATGTAGTCCATCCCCTTCCAGGAAAAGACTGGAAAATGAACATTTTTTTTTCTACTTCCTCTGTGCTAAGGGAGGACAGCCACAGTGAGTGCTAGAATATAAAGAACTAACTTTGTTTTCTGTAGTGCTGTGGGACTTGTGGTTATAAGCTCCACTGGCTTTCAGAGCTAGGAATTTTGTGGGCCTGTTCCTTAGGTGAGAGCCTTAAAAGTTGGAATCCTGTATGTACTGTCCAAATGCTTTACTCCTCAGGAAGAGGCTGAGAGTTGGGGTTATCTTCCTTATAGTACGGTTCTGTGCCAGAAATGGGGTTTACAATACGTTTGTCTCATCCTTTCCTACCCATTTCACTGTGGTTGTTTTTTTAGTTGCCTGATGTGGTAGGAGTCATTCAGCTAGTTTCTGGGTTTTTTGCAGAGGAAATTGTTCCATGTGTAGCTGTACTTTAGGTGCATCTGTGGAAGAAGGGAAGTTCGGGGGCCTCTTATGTCACCACCTTGGTCCCTTCTACAAAGGACTGGCATATACATTGCTCCAAAGAAGATACACAAGTGGGGAATAAGCACATGGAAAGATGCTCAATATTATTCATTAAGGAAATGCAAATCAAAATCGTAATAAGGTTACCACTTCACATCCATTAGAATGGCTACTATTTTAAAAAATGAAAAAGAACAAGTATTTGTAGGATGGGGATAAACTGGGAACCTTTGCGTATTGTTGGTGGGAATGTAAAATGGTATAGCCATTATGGAGAACATTATGGTGATTCTTCAGAAAGTTAAAAATAGGGTTGCCATATGATCCAGCAATTTCACTTCTATACATATATACTCAAAAGAATTGAAACAAGGACTCAGATACTTGCATACAAGTATTCATATTAGCATTATTCACAGTAGCTAAAAGGTAGAAACAACCCAAATTTCCATGAACAGATAAAAGGATAAACAAAATGTGATATATACATGCAATGGAATGTTGTTCAGCTCTAAAAAGGGATGAAATGATGAGCCTTGAAAACTTTGTTAAGTGAAATAAGCAAGACACAAAAGGATAAATATTGTATCATTCCACTTATATGAAGTGTCCAGAAGAGGCAAATTCATACAAACTACAGTAGAAGTTACCAGGAGCTTGGGGAAGGGGAGAATGAGAAGTTATTTTTTAATAGGTACAGAGTTTCTATTTGAGATGATGAAAAGTTCTAGAAATGGATAGTAATAATGGTTGCACAACACTATGAATGCACTTAATGGATTGAATTGAATTGTACAGTATTGTACATAATTGAATTGTACACTTAAAATGGTTAAAATAGTAACTATATATTTTACCAAAATTTAAAAAAAATTAAAAGCCTATTTTAAAAATTTTTATTTTTTTGATCATAGTTTAGTTACAAATCATTAATAGATTTTAATATTTCACTTTCATAGAGGCCCAGAACAACATTTCTAAATTTCTACAATGCTGCCTGAAATGCTGTTTCTGGTGTTTGGAAAAAGTGGTAAAGTTTTTTAACAGAAATGCCTATGTTATGGTAAGTAGATTATTCTTTATTTACTAAATTTCTTCTTTGCAAACCCAAACCCCATGTGTACATTTCCATCTCTAACACTTTTTACATCATACAGTTGAATTTATCACCATGTTGATATAAGGATTTGTGAATCCTATGCATGATTCAGAGCTATTCTATCCTAGTTGAGATAATATCTTAACTGTAGTTCATTATTACTGTTAATATCTTTTTAAAGAGGGAAAATATTATTTACCTTAGAAATTTTTAAATATGTTAGATTGAAAAGATTTTGTGTGTCTTTGACATAGTTTTTAGTGCAAGGAGAGGTTCTATATTTCACTCTGAGAAAAAAAAATCTAATTCTGGGATTTACATATTTCTAGGGAATGGTCTATTTCTTTTCATAAATCTTATGTTGAAATGTGTGGGAATCGACAAGGCCTACCTGAATGTGTTACTTATTTTCTATGGGGAATTTGGAGATTTTTTAAAAATAGGGATTCCAAAAACATAATTCTTCTAAAATTTAGTAACTACAACCTTATGATACTTGCTTGTCTTCCCCATGACCAGAGTCTGTAGGGTGATTCAAATAGGCATGAAGATTTAAATAGTCACTAATTTACCTCCAGTGAGAATACTATATTGAAACTTTTAATCAGTAAATCAATGTTTTGAAAGGTGTTGGGTTCCCTAGAATAATTTTTAATGTGAATGCTGCAACATTTATCCCATTCACATCAGACCCTAGCCAAAACACTTCAAAGACAGAAGCCATATCCTGGGATTTGAGAAAAAGACCTATCTCTGTGTGAATTCCCATGAAGTTTATAGGCATATAGAATCTGGAGCACACCAGCGTCCCTGACAGCTGTGCAGAGTTGAGGTTAAACAGTTTCCAGGTCTCCCACATACCCAAATGCTGGAAAGAGGAATGACAGTAGCTATCTGGGTGATAAGAGAATTAATTAATTTTCCTGTCATTGGATTGTCTGTTGGTCTTGTTAGGGTATGTTACTGACTCCAGAATAATAACGTCTGTTTTCCTCAGATTGCAATATATGGCAAAAACTTCTGCAGGTCAGCAAGAGATGCTTTCAATCTGCTGATGAGAAATGTTTTAAAGTAAGTAATCAGGTTGAATTTGCAAAAGACAATTTGGTGAAATTTGAGCATCACAGACTTCACATGTTGTGATTTAAATTGATGGTGGTCTTATTAGACATGAATATTATCTTTCAATTGGATAGATTTAAATCTTCTCTCTCACACTATTTCTTTTTGTATCTTAGAATGTTGCTTCCATCATCCATCTACATCTTCACACTAACTGGCATTTTATTGATTTTTGTTATCCCTTCTGCTCAAGAAATTCTCCACACAAACATCATGTTTCTGACCACTTCCCCCTCCCCAAATTGAGAGAGTCTGAGTGAGCAAAAGCAGGGGAAAGAATGAAATCTCCTTGAAATTCAGGGTGTCTTAGGCTTTGAAACAGAAGCTGACATAACTAATAGTGCCTGATAGCCCCACAATGCCATCTTCTGTTTACTTCATCGAAAATAAATCAGAACTTCATTCCTGGGGTCTACCTTCATTTCTTGCATTTAACAAAGGCCAAATAAAATTTGCAGTGAAGACACATCAAAGTGAGCTCATAAATTATTTACTCTCATAAATTTCAAGTGACAAATGTAATTTAAACACAAAATTATACTTTTTTTCTGATTCTCAGAGTTGCAGTTATGGATAAAGTTACAGACTTTGTACTAATCCTGGGGAAAATTCTAGTTGCTGGATGTATAGGTAAGTAATAATAAACATAAGTTTAGAAGGTACTTGGAAAAGCTATATTCCTTTGCAAATACATAATATACATATTCTGCCTTTCCAATGTAGGTGTGCTGGCCTTCTTACTCTTCACACACAGATTGCCAACGATGATAGAAGGACCAACATCTTTAAATTACTACTGGGTACCTTTGCTGGTAAGAGTTGGTGTTTTAGTCAGTTCAGGCTTCTATAACAAAAATATCATAGACTGGGTGGCTTAAACAAGAATTTATTCCTCACATTTCTGAAGGCTGAGAAGTCCAAGATGAAGGTGCCCACAGATTCAGTTCCTGGTGAGAGCTGTCTTTCTGGTTTGCAAAGGGACCCCTTCTCACTGTATCTTAACATGGTGGAGAGAGGTATCATCATCTCTCCTGTCTCCTCTTTTAAGGGCATTAATCCCATTCATGAGGGCTGCACCCTCATGACCTAATTACCTCCCCCAAACCTCACCTCCAGATATCGTCACATTGGGGGTTAGGTTTCAACATATGCATTTTGAGAGGATACAATTCATTCATAACAACTGGGTAGGTAATATTGACTCTGATTTATCAGAGATGGCAAAATAAAAGTAATAAGAAAAATAATAATAGCTAACATTATTGGTCCTACTTTGTGCCAAGCCTTATTCTGCCTTAGATTGGATTCCTTAGAAACAACCTCTGAGACAGGATTGTATGCGGAAGGTTATTTGGAAGTGTTCTCCTGAGATACCCTTATAACAAGGAAGTGAGGAGGGCAGGCATGGGCAAAGGAAAAAGCTGCAGTTACAGTAGAGACCTCAGACATATTGACAGGAAGTTCTGAAGGAAGAATTAGGCCTCTGTATGCTGCATCAGGCAGCCGTTGGCCAGGGGTTGCCCCCTGGATGCTGGTGTAACCTTGGATGAGGCAGTTCCCTGCAACAAGGGCAATTCCTAGTGAGTGAAGCCACTCAGTTGTCAGCAGCCTACATTCCTAACAATTGGATGATAGATGTAGCAGCTGGAGAGGACCTGGTAGGAGCCCTGCAGTATCTATAGCAATTAATTAACTCACTCAATCCATATGTCATAAATACTATTATTATTCACATTTTCCCCTTTTCCACCAGTAATTTTTTATAGGAGGCAGGGGACACAGTGAGGTTAAGTAACTTGTTGAGTGAGTGCCTGACATGTGATTCAACCCTAGGCAGTGTGTGCTCTTAACTCCCGTGCTTTCCTGCCTCAGTCTACAGGATCCTAAATCTGGGATATTTTTGGTAGGCATTGGGGATAGTGGTAAGAAAATTGGCAGACAATATATACATTTAGATCCCAGTACAAATTACCCAAAAGTGTTAACATTGTACTTTTTTGGTCTCTATATTGAAATCTTTTCTAATATAGGGTACTTCAGCGTTTCTCATCATGACTTTCATTTAAAGCTGCATTATTGTTCTTCTGGACAAGTTAATGACATCTTCATTTTGTTCTTTACTCATTTACAGACAGTCATTATTGGATCTTACCTAGTTGCACATGGGTTCTTCAGCGTCTATGCAATGTGTATTGATACAATTTTCATCTGCTTCTGTAAGTTTTCAGTATATGTGTTTTCCCCCTTTGGAGAGTAACTGAAAGATAAGAAGGTTAAGACCCAGACCCATGTCCTTAGCTGGCTTGTGAATTTGCTATGGCCTGGCTGCAACTATCAAATAGTGTTGATTTGGAAAGAGACTCTGTTTAGTAGATGCTCTTTAAACCTTAACAGCCAAGAGAATGGAGTTTGCAAAGCACCGCAGAGTCAGCTACTGAAATGAACCTCGGGCTCCACGGCATGGTGTTAGCATGAAACTGTTTTTGCACATCTTAGTATTTTCAAATTTTAATAATAAAGCACAACGGAATCTAATCATTAACAGCACTGAGGACATGGCTTTGAGATTGGACTTCAGGACCTTTTTGAGGAGAGGCTTTATAATTCTGATAAAGCCAAGCTAGCAATAGTTTCCAAGACACATAGGGCCAATTCACACTAGATTCATGGAGGAGAATGTCTAGGAAACAGCTTGATCGATTCTGACGCTTAGAGTTAAAATACTTCTTAAGAGCTTTGATCACTGACGTATTTGCTGTACCTCTGTGCGGCATGTGTAACTCATAATGGATAGGTTTTCTATTAGCATCTCATCTTAAAAGCCTTGGAGAACCTAGTGCCCTAGGAGCTTAACCTGGCTCTTACCTTCAGCCTAGGGAAAGCAGGCTCAGCAGATGAAAGAACAAATTGTTAGCCCACCCTCTGAGTGATTATTTCTCTGGCACATTGCTCTTAAGAGAAGCAGAGAAAACATTCTGTGACAGGGCATTACTGAGTGATCCACTTGTGTAAAATTAACAGTTTATTTTTTGGCATAACTCACAGCACCAACTTTACAGTGGGGTCAGGAGAGGAGATAATACTTACAGGGAGACATATTCAAAGGAAAAAACTCCTAGAAAGTGGTTTGACTTTTTTTTTTTTCTTAACATTTAAAAATTCTTTTCAATAACTGGACAATTCAGAAATCAGGAGAACTGTGCATACTAGTTAGTTCTCTCTCTGGCTATAAATGGAACAGAAATGTTTAATCATCTTCTAATGCCACTGTTGGTGGTTTATTAGGTAGGAGAAGCCATCTACAAAATGCCACATGAACAAAATTCGGCTCAGGTTGGAGATGGAGAAAGGAACACAGAAATATGGTAGTGCCTGAGACAGAGGTCTCAAATGTTCAAAGATCTCTTTTTTTCATCTCAGATGCTAATCATAGAAGTAGTGGGAGATCCCTTTAGGATCTTCCCCATTCTTATATAACTGAAAATGTTTCTCAAAATGTATCTCAGGAAATGCATAGAAACTACTAGCTTCCAGTCTCTGGAAGCTTTGGAAAAAGTCTTATGGATTTTAAATTTGACAGTGGATTTTAAATTTGAGCAGTAAGAAATGTTTTCTACCCTTTTATATTAATAATTACCAACTTCTTGAAAACCAGGTGTAATTTCAGCTTTATTCAATACATTGTGTGTTGAACATGAATAGTTTCCTTCTGGAGACTCTGGTCTTTGAGAATAAAGAACAAGGGATACGAAATTATATTTCTCCTCCCTTCCCAACTTTTACTATGGGCAACATCTTACTTTGGAAAACATTCTTAAATGGTGCCATAAGCCAAATTCTGATCGTGTGGAACTGTACCTTTATACATACACATCTTTTTATACCTATTCTCTTGGCTGCCAGACAACTGGTGTTTTTAAAAATGCAAACCATTTGCAAACACTGCATTTATAGAAACATGGCATATTTTTAATATTACAAGGCAATGAGAATTCTGGTCCCAGTATGAGAAAAAAGTAGTGTTGTAGATGATTATTAGTGTGATCCATACCATGCTTCCTAATAATGCTTCAAAAGTAATAACAATGTAGATATACTGTATATGATATAGAAATATGGTTAAGGAAAAAAGAAAAAAATGTTCAGTGTCCATCATATTCCCTCCTTAGCTTTTCATTTTATCTGAGGAAGGTCATTGTGAGGTCTAATGTAAAAATCTAAATCAATAATCCAACCATTCCCAAAAAAGGATGAAAAATAATTTAGATTTATTCCATAAATCTATGATTATCCTATATGGTTTTATATAATATTTCTTATCCTTTGTCATAATAAAGACTATGAATAACAAAATCTTTTTTAATACACTAGTGGAAACAGAGTTAAGCCGTACTTGTATACTTATTGATAGATATTATCTGCTACGAATTCTATCTTTAGGAAGCTTAATTCCGTGCCAACTTCTTGCTCCTCAGCATCATTCTGGTGCTTTCCCTGAATCACCTGATAGGTGTGTGCTCAGTGAACATTCCATCATTTTATTATTAGCCTAGGCAAAGCAGGAAGGTAAATTCATGTGTTACATGAAGTCAGAAAACCCTGCCAGTAGTTTTCTAATACAATCTGAGGAAATTTAAGACAGGATAACTTATAGTTAAGTAGGACAAGAACCGAACTAGGTGTCAAGAGGCTGGGTCCTCACCTCATTCTGATTGCCCCAGAGCTTTTGACTTCAGGAGAATCATTTCACATACCTGGGTCTCCGTTTCTTCATCTGTAATGTTATGGGTGTGGACTACCATTAAAAGTGACTTTGAAATTCAATTATTGTTCTACATTTACCACAGACTTTTTATTCGGCTTCATCTCAGATGTGGCATTTTTACCTTTCTGAAATGAACAGTCACAGATTTAGAGATAATAGTTTTGAAAGGATATGAAAGATCTTATTAACCTTTAAACTATCAAAATAAACCTCTTCGGGCATTGGTGGGATTTAGGAAGTTTCAGTGCTTCCTGGCAGAGGTTGAAGTTTCTTACTTTGTCCAGCATCAGCAACTTAACGGTACAGATTGTCTTATATTTGACTTTCTAACGCTAATTTCTCTGATTTTTCCCTGTTTGACTCTCCAATTTATAAAAATACACTTAATTCTGCTGTCGCTTGCTGTTTTGCCTGCTTTGGCTGCTGCATATACAGGTGAAGATCTGGAAAGAAATGATGGATCCAGAGAAAAACCCTACTTCATAGCCCCTACCCTGCACGGAACTCTGAACAAGATGCTACTAGTTCCCCAGAAGCAGAAAGAGTAGAAAAGCTCCAAACAGTGACATTCATTTTTAAATAGAACTTTTGTAAATTAGATCATTTGTAACTTGAAAATGATGCTTTTGAGTAATGTGAAATTTCTGTGCTTATTCCTAAAAAGCCAGAACCTGGTACCACCTGAGGTGACAGGCATTTGGTGACAGTAGCCACTGTGAACTAGGATACTTTATAGACTGTGGTCCCAGCTGAAAAAGCAAGGTGTAAATGTCAAACATATATTTAAAGCCTATAGCCAAAAGTGTTTTAAATGAGACTTTTATAACTCGGAGTGCTGTTTCCCATTGCAGCACTTTGATCGCCTTTCTTTTTATAAATGTGTATTTGTAAAGGATATTCAGGCAATTTTCGAAAGCACTATAAACGTATAGTCAATTAGCCATAAAAAAGATTGACATAGTTCACCAGCATATGGTACTAAATTTGTAAATATGGTGCTATGGTTATGTAGCTGCTCTGGCTAGTGGACAGCTTTCTCAACTGTGATTAAACTCGTATAAATGTTTCCCTAGGAAGTATATTTCAGTGTGTGATTCAAGACCGTAACAGGGATGTTAATGTTATACAAGTTCCATAGAGAACACTGCTAGGTAAAAATTACTGGGGAACCTCATAACCCCATAGCCCACTTTGTTTTAGTGAAATTATAATCATAGTAAAGTTGAATCTGAGTTTTGGGATGTCATTTCCAATACTATGAACCTCTAGCCACCGTTAACATACTCTGAACAAAACTGAAATGGCTACATAACTCATGCCTTTTGTCTCTAACCCAGATGGAGACAAATTCCTATTTTCCTACTCCCACCATACAGAAAGTTGGAATGGATCGGTTTCAGACGAGTGATTCTATCTTTCACAAGCATACCTGTTTTTCTAGATTAAAGAGATTGTTTGACTTCATTCTACAAAAGGTTTAGTTTTAGCTCAACTTAAGTGAGGAAAGAAAGAGAAAAGATGAGCAAGACACTTCAGATTTTTCCGTAAGGAAATACACTACTAACACTCCATTGGTACCTTGTTTGGTACCTTTACAGGGGTGCACTGTGCGATAGGAAATCTCTCTCTTGAGAGTTTAGCAGGAAAGTTATTTTTATACTCCATCCTTGCTGGCCAGAACAACAAGCTGGTTGCTGGCAGCCATGCCTTAGTCTTTTGCATGGTGGAACAAAGCATGAATCGACACTCAAGTACTTTGCCTGTCCATCCCTTGTGTGCACATGTGTATGATTTGGCTAACAGTGTAAAAATTACCCCAAAAGGAACATTGAATTGTAGTATCCTTTGGGCATTTACACTAAGCTTATGTATTGACACAAAGAAATGTGTTGATCTAAGATTGTGGTCTAAATGTGATCTAAATATGATCCATGTATTTAAGAAGAGAGTCAGAAATGTATCATCGTGTCACAAATTAATATAAAAACTAACTTCTGTAATCCTGAATTATGGGAACCTGGATTTAGACTGACTCTGTGACAGCTTAATAGCAAGAAACCAATGAATAAGGAAGATTTTCAAAATAGTGGTCTTTATAATAATGGCCACCATCTTGTTCTTGGCTTATTTTCTTGAGATTGTTATAGTCAAAAGTGTCACTTGGCTTCACCTTGTGGCAAAGGGCCTTCTTCACTCATTCTCCTTGAAGCATAATTCAGAGAAGAGTGATAATCTATCTTTCTGGATGGTTATTATTATTATCCAACAATACAGAGCTCACAACCAAGATCTAGTAAATAGTAAAACCTCTTTTTTTTTTTTTTGAGAAAGTGAGAGAGTGTGTGTTTGCAAGTGCACATGTGCACACGTGAGCAGCAGGAAAGGGGGGAGAGGGAGAGAATATTAAACAGGTTCCACGCCCAGTGCAGAGTCCAATGCAGGGCTGGATCTCACGACCCTGAGATTATAACATGAGCTGAGATCAAGAGTGGGAGGCTTAGCCATCTGAGCCACCCAGGTGCCCCAGTCACCTCTCTCTTAAGTGTTAAAAAGTGTTGGGGAATACATCCCCTTCAGGAGTAGTTGAATGATGATACATGATGATGAAACAACACAGTTCTAATTTTTTTTTTTTTGTAGGCATCAGAATCACTCTGAGAACTTCTAATAGATGCCTATGCCCCTTCCCTAAGAGATTCTGATATGTTGTGTTTGGGTGTGGGGCAGCTTGTGAATTATAAAGTTCTCTAGTTGATTCTGATACACATAAAAGTTGGAAAATCACTTGAATAAAATATAAATCAACATGCAAGAAACTGGTTGCCTATATTCTTATATTCTTGGCTGTCCCAGAAGTTAGAAAATTAAGACAAAGATTAATTTCAGACTTCTAATAATCATAACTTCTTCTGTATTTTAGATTCTTAGACTAGATGGGGCCCATGTATTACATTATATCTGCTGATGAGACCAAAAAATTCACTAGAGTAAAAGTGTTCACTGATATATGGAGGCACATTCTATAGTTGGCTATATTTTAAGGATATAACCCATGGATAGAAAATCATAGGAAAAGAAATGCTATTTGGTTCAATATTTTTAAATACCACTTAGAGGAAGAATCTCTAAGTATATAAGTTTGAACTATATTATGGACTTAGTTCTAGTCAGAAAAAGTTTTCCCCACTAGTTTGTTCTTTGTGTAGAAGAGAGTAAAAATGAGCATTGTTTTTGAGGGAAAAAAATTAGAAGCTATTATCTTACTAAGCAATTAACTGCAAAACAATATTTTTCAAAACTTGCAGTTTAAGGCTTTTTGAAATACATTAAAATTTTACAAATATTTTTTAAAACTATGCTACCTAAATTGTTGATGGCAAAACAAAAGCAATTTTGAACAAATACAATAATTTATAAAGTGAATTGAGTACATACTACTTTTCAGGAATTTGGAGGTGAATTTGGAAATTCTGGATGAGGTTTTTTGTGTTTTTTTTGTTTCGTTTTTTGTTTTTTGGGTTTTTTTGGTAAGTTTCCTATCCAAAAGAAGGTAAAGTTATTTTTTCAGTCATGCACCTGAGAGGCATGCACTATTAGCAGAATATGACCTGGTACACAGAATGGGGTAATATTTTACTAACATAATAACAAGGGCTGCTTGTTTTCTCATAGGTATGTTTACAATAATGATGCCAAACTATGCTATTTAAAAAAATAAAAAGTTTTGAACTGCTGTAAAGCAAGTGTGCAGCAGATGGCGACGTTACTTCTCTTACAGTTTTGCTTTGATATTTACTCTGTGCCATTCTTCCTCCTAGTGGAAGATATAGAAAGAAACGATGGTTCTGCTGAAAGGCCCTATTACATGAGTCAGTCTCTGCTGAAGATTCTGAACGAGCCAAGTATGCAAACTAAGAAGCATTAGAAGTGCAAACTGTGGTCATCCTGCAGCGGTGTTACCTAATCTTCATCTGCTGTGTCTGCACAACACTAGTTTCATAAGTGCTTTGTGTTTGGAACACTGTATTCACCACCCTGTTGGCTTTTATTTGCATGTTTAATACCAAAGCTTATACTGTAATATGTGAAGCCATCAGAAGTTGCAAGGGAATTGTTAATAACATGGTACATTTTTATACTAAGATCTTTTGTTTTGTAATTCATTTTTAAATATAGTGGCTTGGATGTTTTGAAAACACTAGTGAATATGTTCATATTCTTTTAAATATTACATTGAAAAATGAAACGCTATTTAAATCGATAGCTCCTAATATATTTTTTAAATTACAACTAAAAGACTTCTGCAGGGAAAATTGGTCAACAAAGTGAAATAGAAAATTTTAAAGTTTTCCCTGCTCCTGTTTGACAGTAAATTGGTAAAAGGACTGCCTGCTCCAGATTTTGCTCTCTTTGAGTATAGAATGTTTCCTATTAAACAAATTGCCAATCATCCAGCCTTTACTACTTAGTCCTCTCTGACAAAGTGCCTTACTGGCTGTTTAATATTACCCAGATTTTGTGGGCAAATTTATAAACATTGTTTAAAAAAAAAAAAAACCTGCAATGTTTAGTGATTGAAACAAGTCTTCTTGAATTTGTTTTCCTCTTAGGTCACTGGTTGGAAACCACTTGTCATTTCAGTATGTTTGATATCCTCACTATATAGAGTAGTTTTGCAGCATAAACAATTTCCCTTGCGCCTAGTGGACATTCATGAATGTGTACTACACGCAAGAAAAAAAAAAGTGAAAGGATGCTTGTTTTGTTTTTGTTTTTGTTTTTGTTTTTTTACTAAAAGTGAGAAGTTTAAAAATCTAATCTTTTTTATGGTAGATCATTTCTCAGTGTTTTACAGAGTTTGGAAAGGAACACTTTGAGAAATTACAAAGGGAAATTTTACCCCTGGAAAGGGTGCTCACAGGTGTCATGTACTGAATCGCTCTGTTTTAAATGATTATTATCATCAAGAAGTGTTTTATGTGTGTTATTTCCTTTTTTAACTTTTGATATGAAATAATCAGTTTGTTTATAATAACTTTTATTGTGCTAATATAAACAGGAACATAATTTCTAATTCAATTTTAAGTAATTTTACTAGTATTACTAACTTTAAAGAAAATGAATTCAGTTTGTTACTCAGTGTTAAAGTATTCATCCCAAAGGAATGTCAGTCAGATATGATAATTTGTGAAAGCTTTGAGAATCAACAGTAAGTTATCAGCTTATCTATGATCACATTTATTTAAATGTGACTTTAGATATTCTTTTATGCCAAAAACAAACTCACATGAGCACATGACAGTCTGAGCTCTATAATCAGTGTGCTTCTGCTGTGCAGAAATATTAGGAACATATTGTCTAAATATCTTTGATAACTAAAATGTTTAATATTTAATGAAATCTGTTGTTACTCATCATTTTAAATGTTTTTTTCTTCTAATAAAGATTTAGATAAAAAAACCTGTCTTTTTATTTCTTTAAGCTAGAAAAGGAGAAAAGCTTTAGTTTTTAAAACCTACCATAGGCTGACAGAATCTTCTATCAACTAAGGTTTAATATCTAGATTTATCTTTTAAAAAATTTCCATTTTTCTCTAGCTGTGCATTGTCAAATAACTGAAACTGATAATTTATATAAAGTGAATAAGTCAAAACTAAATGGATAAGAAATGGATTTTTAAAACCCAAACAGTGGCCTAAATTAGTTGGTCTTTGTTTTAATTTACCAAAGGTTTGCTCAGTCCCTCATTTGGTTTTACCAACATTGGAAGAAGCAAATCTCATCATTTTAAAGGCAGGGATGAATTTAGAGAACCTTTAAAAATGAACACTAACAATAGTTTTCTAAGAAAAGATTAAGTGTACATATCACTGGCTTATCTTAAGCTAAAAGTTTTCTTACATCCAGCTCTTCCTTAACAAATGTGTAAGAACCTATTTTTTAATTGAATTATGTTAAGTCTACAAAATTTTTCTTTAAAATTTAATGGGTTTCTTTCAATGAAAACATAAAACAATATTCTTGCAGTTTTCAGTGTTCTTTTAAAATGTTCCAAATCTAATTAGATGCTAATACAATTAATGATTCTTATTTAAAATAAAAATATAGTTCGGCTTCCAGAAGAAATCTAAATTCTGCTTTAAATCTTACTAACTCCTACTTTTAGGTGACAAAGCACTAATCCTATTTCTAAAGTGTTTGAAATTGGACTATGATTAGATTTTTCTGTGTTGCCTACAAAGTTTAAAAAGTTTGTGAATCCATACACTAAAATTACACTATTAAAGGTTCTGCGGAATCACCAGGCATAATGCAGTTATTATTTAAACTAATACTGGAAAACGGGCTCTGTTTAACAACTCCGTATTTTTCTTTTACTGTATAGCTGAACACTCATTCCAATGTATGTTCTTTCACTTTTACAAGTGGTGCCTCAGGAAATTGCTCTTTAACCAGGCACAATAATTATCTCCAGTATTATCTGGTTCTGGACTGGGGAACATGCTTTATAAATCAGTCTTTGTTGGCATAAGGGGACAAAATTGAACTAAAATTATTGCAGACCATGGTATATGAAATGGTGTCTTGACATTTTTTCCAGTTTCTTGCAAATATTATCCTTAAATGTTTGTTTTTAAAATATAGCTATATGATTATAAGAATACAATTCAATAAATCACAGATGAAAAGAAATAGCTTACCAATATAGCAGGAATAATTTACTTTTTCAAAGTAAATTTCCATATATCATGTTTTTTTCTACTAGAACTAACATGGATATTGAAGACTTCTCTCAGGACCTAAGTTACTTCTGGCCCTTAGTGAGTCTATCATCTCCCAGAAAACAAAGCTATCCCCCATTAAAACAAATGTGATTGATTCACTCATGAAAATTGAGTACCACATTATACAAGGCTTGGACATCAGGATAATGTCAAGGTCATGGACCCTCTTAAATTTATCAGGTCAAATTAACCAACTTCTCCACAACTTTCCAAGAATAAAAGGTAGCTAAAACAGCACAGAATCTGGCAATCTCTTCTCTAATGTTTTCTGTGCTGGGAAGACTGGGGGCTGTCATGTGACACATTTGAAAGCCATCAAATCAAGAGTCCAGGGAAGATGACAGAGTAGGAAGACCCTAAGCTCACCTGCTCCAAGGGAGACAACCAGATAACACCTATTCAGTGTAACAACCCAGAAAAGAACCCAAAGACTGGCAGAACAGACTCTCTCAAAGAGGGTAGGAAGGGTAGAGATGCAGTTGGGAGCTAAACAGACCCACAGGACTGTCTGTGGGAGGGAGGGATGCCCTGGTGTGGAGTGGGAGAGGAGCAGACCCTCACACCAGGCACACCATGCCGGGGGAACCTGCACAAGGAAGAGGAATCCCTGTAACATTTGGCTTTGAAAACCAGAGGGGCAGATTTTGTGAGTCTTACAGTCAGTGGAGCTTAAAACCTGGAACTTTAAAAATCAGCAGGCTGGCCTCTGGGAGAGCTAGGAGGGCAATAAGAACCTGAGTCCCTACCCTTAAAGAGACAACACAACAAATAGCCCCACAGAGATATACACAGATGCTGCAGTTTGAAAAATGTCTGGGCTATACAGGAGGGAGATTTGTTTACTAATCTCAGAGCATGTGCTGGAGGAGCAGGGATCTTTGAGAGATTTTGAGAACAAAATTGCTGGAGGGTGCCATTTCCCTTCCACGACTCCCAGTCTAGATACACAGACACCTGCAGGAATAAGCATAGTGTCCATACTCTCTACCTAGCTTACTAACAGGGTGCCCCACCACTGCACACTTCTGCGGATTCACCCCCTCCAACTCAGCAGGAGTTTTGCCTGGCAGCTGTAGGTCCCCTCTCATAGCAAACCTGTATACTTTGCTGGCACCATGCACCCTGCTCCCACACTCTCCTGTGGAGTCGCCCTCTCTAGCCCTGTACCAGGAGTTTCTAAAGCAGCTCCAGGTCCCCTCCCACAGCAGATCTGTGCAAACTTTGCTAACACTGTGCATTCTACCCCTGCATTCTCCTGCAGACCTGCCCCCTCCGTTACATCCTTTGCTGAAGCCCATCTAAAACAGTGCGAAAGCCTGGCAGTGTGCAAGAACCCCAACAGGGGTCAGAAGCACTCCAAAGCGATTCCTGCCCCAGGGAGAGGGGAAGATAACCACCATTCCAACTGCAGCCCTAGCAAGGGGCTGGGGGCAGACTTCTGGTCTGACTGTGCCCCCCCCGCCCCAACAAAAGCTTCTCAGAGGAAAACAAGGGAAAACACCCTGCAGTTTAGTGCTATGACATCTCTGGCAAATGACTAACTAGTCTGATGCAACTCAAGCCCAAGACAGCCCCAGACTGGCCCACTAATGACACAGGTCCCAAACCCTACCCACAACAGGGAAAGGGAGCTATTGCAAATGACTGGACTAAAGATAAATGCAGCTCAGCCACAATAGCAGGATGCACACAACACAGGAGACACTTCTGAAGCACCAGGTTCTGGGAAATGGGTGACATTGCACTGCAGGCCACTACTTTCAAGAGCAGGAGACATAGCTGATTTTCCTAACACATGGAAACAGACACAGAGAGCTAAACAAAATGAGACAGAAGAATATATCTCAAATACAAGAACAAGACAAAATCACAGCAAGAGACCTAAACAAGATGGAGATAAGTAATATGCCTGCTAGAGAATTTAAAGTAATGGTCATAAAGATACTTCCTGACTTAAGAGTGGAGGACCTCAGTGAGACCCTTAACAAAGAAAAAACATAAAAATTAATGAATCAGAGATGAAGACTCAATAACTAAAATTAACAATACAAAAAATGGAGTATGTAGCAAATAGAGGAAGTAGAATTGATCAGTGACCTAGAGGACTGAGTAATGGGAAGCAATCAAGCTGAAAAAGAGAGAAAAATTAATAATAATAAATAAAAATAGATTTAGGGACCTCAGTGACACTATCAAGCATAATAACATGCTCATTATACAAATCCCAGGAAGAGAAGAGAGAGAAAAGGGGCAGAAAATGTATTTCAAGATATAATAGCTGAAAAAATCCCCAATCTGGGGAAGGAAACAGAAATCCAGATCCAAAAGGCACAGAGAGCACCCAACAAAATCAACCCAAAGAGGTCCACACCAAGACACATAGTAATTAAAATGGCAAAAAGTAGTGATAAAGAATTTTAAAAGCAGTAAGAGAAAACAGTTACATACATGGGAAACCTCATAAGGCAATCAGCTGATTTTTCAGCAGGAACTGCAGGCTGGAAGAGAGTGCCAGGATATATTCAAAGTGCTGGAAGGGAAGAATCTGCAGCAAAGAATATGCTATGCAGCAAGGTTATCATTCAGAATAGAAGGAGAGATAAACAGTTTCCCAGACAAACATAATTAAAGGAATTCATGATCACTAAATGATCCCTACAAGAAATGTTAAAGGGACTTAGCAAGTGGAAAACAAAAGCCATAAGTAAGAGTAAGAAAAATATGAAGCACAAAAGCAAAAAAAAAAAAAAAAAAAATTAAGTATCTCTGTAAAAATCAGTCAAGAGAAACACAAAAGGATATAAAATATGATACCAAATATCTGAAACATGGGGGGAGGAGAGTAAAGAATGAGTTCAAAATTAAATGACCATCAGCTTAATATAGATTGCTATATACAGAAAGTGTTATATGTAAATGAATGGTAACCACAAATCAAGAAATAGTAATAGATATGCAAAAAACAGAGTAAGCGATCCAAGTATTTTGCTAAAGAAAACCAACTAATCATGGGAGAAGACAGCAAGAGAAGAAAGGAACAGAGAGGAACTACCAAAACAGCCATAAAACAAATAACAAAAGGCAATAAATACACACATATCAATAATTACTTTGAATGTAAATGGACTAAATACTCCAATCAAAAGACATAGGGTGACAGAATGGATAAAAAAGCTGGATGCATCTATATGCTGCCTACAAGAGACTCGCTTCAGACCTAAAACACTTACAGATTGAAAGTGAAGGGATGGAGAAACATAAATCATGAAAATGTCAGTAAAGAGAAAGCTGGGTTACCAATACTTATACTGGACAAAATAGACTTTAGAAAAAAGATGGTAACAAGGAACAAAGAAGGACATTACATAATCATAAATGGTGCAATCCAACAAGAAGATATAACAATTGTAAATGTTTATGCACCCAACATGGGAGCACCCAAATACATAAAGCAGCTAATAACAAACATAAAGGAAATGATCAACAGTAATACAATAACAGTAGGGGACTTTAACACCCCACTTACATCAGTCCATAGATCATCCAAACAGAAAATCAGCAAGGAAACAGAAGTTTTGAGTGACACAATAGACCAGATGGATCTAACAGATATATTCAGAAC